GCCGGCTGCAGTGGGCTTGGATCATTCATATGCCAGCGATCGAACCTGCTGTTGCCTCGCTCAATGTGTCACCAGAGGAAGCTCTGCGCAGTGATATTCGGTGCCCACGAGCTCAGTGTCGCATCACGGATTAATTCGCCTGCAGAACTTATTGCGCCGGAGCGCGTGCTGGCCACCTCGGCAATTCCTTGGCGCACCTCATGCTTGCCCTCTCCGCATCCCTTCAGGGGACTAGTGGTGCAACAGCAGCAATGGGCTTTAGCGATGTAGTGCTTCAGGCCTTTGCACTGATGATGAGGGAACTTGGGCGTGTGATGGCCTTCTTGGTCCAGTCTCGATGACAGGTCTGGTTGGCGCAGTCAACATTGACTGAGCCATGTCGTAGAACCCTCCATAATGTCACGGTGGTGCCGGGGGAGTTGTTCGGATCGGCTGCCTTGGAAGTGTTGGAACAGACCATCCAGGCACGACAGAGAAGGCAGCAGCTTTTGAGCCTTAGCAGGGCAATGCCCCCTCCACCTCCTCGGCATCCAATGCATCCGTCTGCTGACCCCAGCATTTGGCCGCCGCCTGGGGATCATAATCGGCCGGGTGGTCTTTACCCTCGTGTGGTTCAGCAGAGACTCAACAGGAGCTTTCGTGAGTCAGTCCACCAACCAGCTGGGCAGGTTTGGACCAGGGACTCTGGCCGCCGCATGCCACCAGGCCGACCGTCGGATATTTCTCCCACCAGCAGCTCAGTTACTAGGCTGCACATGCCGTAGACCCATGGGTGGTTGCCACTCTGACCCATGGTTACCAGCTACAGTTCCGACGGCGGCCTCACATTTCACGCCGGGTCAAGATGACTGTAATCGCCGACCCGGTGAAAGCTCGAGCACTAGACCAGGAGCTTTCCGCCCTCCTGGCCAAGGGCGCAATTGAGGCAGTGGACCCTCTGCAACAACCCAGAGGCTATTACTCGACTTACTTACTTGTGCAAAAGAGGACAGGTGGGTTTCGTCCCAATTTAGATCTGAGGGGACTCAACCAGTACCTAAGGGAGCTGCCCTTCCACATGCTCACGACAGAAGTCCTTCAAGTTATCATGAGGGGAGAATGGTTCACGTCTATAGACCTGAAAGATGCTTATTTTCATGTGCCCACTGCGGCAGAACATCGCTGCTTTCTCAGGTTTGCCTTTCGGTGTCACCACTGGCAGTTCTGGGTACTCTCATTCAGACTCTCTCTCTCCCTGAGGGTGTTCACTCGGTGCGTGAAGGCAACCCTCTTTCCTCTGCAGGATTATGGAGTGAAGGTTCTGCTGTACTTAGACGACTGGCTTCTCTGCGCCCCGTCTCGGGCCTGTGCCTTTCATGACACAAACCGCCTGCTTGCTCATGTGTCCCAGTTGGGCCTCAATGTCAACCTGGAGAAGAGCTGCCTGATCCCTTCCCAGACAATCACCTTTCTTGGGGTGTGGTTCTGGATTCACCCTCCATGAGAGCTTGCCCATCCGCTCAAAGAGTGGCCGGCATACTCCAGCTGGTCAGTCAGTTCAGGCTGGGCAGGCAGCTCCCCTATGTTGCCTTCTTGCAAGTACTCGGCAAACTGACGTCAGTCACTCGGGTGGTGCCCTTAGGCCTGCTGTCACTTCGTCCCTTGCAGAGGTAGCTCAACAGCTTTCGCCTGGATGCCAGGCTGCATAGTCTTCGCAAGCTCGCAGTGACGTGGTCATGTCTTCATGCCCTGACTCCACGGAGGGACGAAGGTTATTTGTCCAGGGGTGTCCCCATGGGAGTGGTAGTGTGTCGCAGGGAAGTGGTCACAACAGATGCCAGCTCCATGGGATGGGGTGCTGTTTGGCAACGCAGAGCGTTTCAGGGCCGCTAGGGTCAAAAGGACCGTTCCAGGCATATAAATGTGTTGGAGCTGTGTGCACTTGGCACTCAGGCACTTCCTGCCTCACCTGGAAGGGGGATATGTTCTTGTTCGGTCAGACAACACCTCTTTTGTCTACCACATCAACCACCGAGGGGGCACCAGGTCAGCACAACTTCTGAGAGCATCCAGAGAGCTCCTGGAATGGGCCTCTCCTTGCCTGTCCACCCTGCGGACAGCTTACTTACCAGGGAGACACAATCAGGTCGCAGATTTTCTCTCCCACCAAGGGTCCACTCCGGGAGAGTGGTCTCTCCACAGCGAAATAGTGCTAATGATCTGGGACCGTTTTGCTCAGGCAGAGATAGACCTGTTTGCAACAGAAGAGTTGACTCAGTGTTTTTCATTCAACCTTTATTTAGACGGGTAAATCCCATTGAGCCTCGAGGACTCATTTACAAGAGAGACATGCTTTGTCCTCCATGTCCCCTATGGTACTCTCTTACGGGTGCATCAGATGCGCTGTGCCAGGATGCATTGGCTTATCCTTGGCCAAGGGTCCTCCTATATGCCTTTCCACCCCTTTCTCTAATTTGGCCAACCCTTCATAGAGTCCTCAAGGAGGGCCATAGGATGCTGCTGGTGGCTCCATATTGGCCAGCACAACCATGGTTCCCACTGCTACAAAGTCTATGTCAGGGTGTCCCATGGTGTCTTCCGACCAGGAGGGACTTGCTGTCTCAGTTGGGGGGGACTAATATGGCACCCCAATCCTCAACGTCTTCGGCTGTGGGTGTGGCCACTGCAAGGCTAGGACAGCAGCTGACTGGAGTTTCGAGCCCCGTCCGATGCACCATCCTGGGTGCCAGGGCACCTTCTACTCGTCAGCAGTACGAAAACAGGTGGCGTCTGTTTTCCCAATGGTGTTCTGATCACAACGAGGATCCAGACTCCTGTACAGTACCCACCATTCTGGAGTTTCTCCAGTCTCTCCTTGGTAAGGGTCGCTCTCTTTCGACGCTTAAAGTTTATGTAGCGGCAATATCATCCAATCACGCTGGCATTGATGGCTGTTTGGGAGCCATAATCTAGTCTCTCTTTTTCTGCGTGGTGCCCGTAGGTCACACTTGCTGACGGCTCCACGAGCACCAGGTTGGCATCTGCCCTTAGTTCTCAAAGCTCTGTGCCATCCTCCATTCGAGCCTTTGACGCAGGCGGACCTCAAGTGGCTTTCATGTAAGACAGTTTTTTTGTTTGCTATTGCCTCAGCAAGGAGGGTCGACGAGCTACATGCTCTCTCAGTCAGCCCCTCATGTCTCAGGTGGGGCTCTGAGGTCTCTGGTGTTTACCTTGTGGCCAAACACTGCATTTGTACCAAAGGTGTTATCTCACTCTCACTGTAACCAGCCGTTGAGGCTGGCACGTTTTCCGCCTTTACCTGGTCAGGGTTCTGGATTATTATGCCCAGTGAGGGCACTGGAGGCATACGTTGCAGCTACTGCCGTGGTACGACATTCAGACCAGCTGCTTGTGTGTTACGGAGGCCCTAGGTTAGGCTGTCCTCTTTCCTAACAGCGCCTCTCCCACTGGATCGTGGATGTCATCTACCACGCCTTTGCTGCAGGTCACGGCTCCCTGCCGGTCGGCATGAAGGCACACTCTACCAGGAGTGTCTCCGCTTCCTGGGCTGCCCTGAGAGGGGTTCCACTGGAAGCAGTATGTGCTTCTGCATGATGGGCTTCCCCAAGCACGTTCACCAGATTTTACAGTGTTAACGTGGCCACCCCTCATCCCCTGGGCCAGGTTCTTCTACAAGGGTCATTTGGGCCTCCTCAGTGAGGTGTGTGCTTAGGATTCCTTGTGACATTGTTGGTATTAGTCATTCAGTGCTTTCAGCACCGCCCTCTGGCGGTCAGGAGGGATGAAATAGAACGAAAGTTACGTATGTAACTACGGTTCTATGAATCCTGGATAACCGCCAGAACTTCTCTGTCACTCAGAATCCTTACATTTCGCGAGAAGATTCTGTAGGAGCGGAGCTGTGGATGACATCAGGCTATATAGCCTCTGATTGGTCATCCATGTCACACCTGTGACTCCGTTGGTATTATTACTCGAACAGTGCATGCACGAAGGGAACATTCAGTGCTTTCAGCACCGCCCTCTGGCGGTCATCCGGGATTCGTAGAACCGTAGTTGCATACGTACCTTTCATGTCATTTGCAGCTGCGAACATTTAAACTTGTGCGTGTCAACAAGAAAGAAAGAGCCAACAGCTGGAATGTTGTTCTGTTTGTATGGCTGTCTGACTCCTAGCAGCTGTTCACAGAACTGTGAGGCTGGTCCCACTTCCTCCTGCTGTCTGCTGGTGACACACTTCAAAATCCTTCATCATGATACCTGAGGCCTGTGTCAGGAACAGTTTCAATATAACTGAGCATATTTTGCTTACCTGACTCCACTCACTCCAACAAAACTGGTCAGTAACTCAGGAAGTCAACCCAGAACCACTTGTATTCCTGTGGACCTGAGGTGCATGTTCAAGTGCAGCAGGAGAGATGACTTTAGATGAAGAGGAAAAGTCTCAGACAGTCAGAGATGGAGGATGAATGTGTCAACTGCAATGCAAAACAAGACAACTTCATTTTTTAATTAAAAATAGTTTGAAACAAAACAAGTGGACTTCTGTTCTGAAGCTGAAGACTTTTCGCTTCCCATCGGGGAGGCTATCGATTCAAAAATGATCAACGATCACTTGTTTTTAACTTTTTTTTTTATTTAACATGACTTGGATGACTGAGAATCTTCACTGGCAACTTTATTTATATAACAGTTAAAAAACAACAACACTGCTGTCTAAAACAATAAAATAATCTAAAACAGTCAAAATAATCTACAGTTAAAAATCATAAAAACACTTCAACATTTCTGAGAAAAATGTAACTGGTCCAACACCCACCATGTTTGTTCTATAAAGTCCAACGACGGTTGTTGTTGCTGTTGTTTTTGTTATTATTATGATGATGATAAATCAGAGCTGTGGAAACGTGGACATTTTGTTGTTCAACAAACAGAACTGTTAAAGCTACTGTCATCTCAGGAGAGCGCTCTGTTCACCAGTCTGACTGGGTTCTCTGCAGGTTTTTTTCCTGGGAATGCTCGGAACTGCGAAGTCTTCCTGAGCCACAAGATGACTTTTATTTCACCTTCAGTCCTGAAAAAATATGGGGTTCAATTTCAGAAGGTAAGCTTTCCGTTACATTGTATTCAAATAAATTAGAACAAAACGGTATTTATGGCGCTAGGCTTCAGAGCGGAGCGGAAAGGTTTTAACAGTCTGTGCTTAATTAAAACCCATTCAGTGCTTTATAACATATTTGCATTATCACATACACACACATCTCAGGTGGCGAGCAATAATGAAAGAGCAGTGATTCAGTGAGAGATGTCAGAATGTGACTGTGGAAGTTTCCTGTCATTTGTCTCTTTCAGATGACTCAGGAAGTGGGTCAATTCATTGTGACGTTCCCGTTTGCCTATCACGCCGGCTTCAACCACGGCTTCAACTGTGCCGAGTCCACCAGCTTTGCCATGCAGCGTTGGATTGATTATGGAAAACGAGCAATAATGGTACACCCGGTGGGAGAACATGATGATGTCAAGGGTTAGGATTTATCACTCTGGGATTACTTTGGCAATATCACAGGGCATTGAACATCAACTGTTTATTTTATTGTGTGAATACTGAGTCAGCAGTCACACTTTTGTTGTGTCTTTTAACCCATCCCCAGTTACAAATTAAATTGGACTTTGTGTAAAATGGAAATCAAAAAAGAACTTCAAATTTCATAAACCCATAGTTTACTCACAATGGAACACAAAAACGAGTTCAGTAGTGTTCAGTGTTCAGTTTACCACAGAGCAGTAAATAAATAAATAGGTTGAAAAATAATGCTACAAAAAAATAAAACGTAGCGGTATTTATTAAACATTATTAATCTATACTTAATATATATTAAGTATAGATTAATAATATTTAATATACTGTATATTAAATACTTTTAAAGTAAATTAAGTAAATTACTGTATATATGTATATATATATACAGATATATACATAACTTACTTTAAATATAT